GGAGTGTGAAATCCTTTTTGTTCTCAACTCCGAAGACACTTATGAATTAAAGAAATTAAAGGCATTCATTCATTCACCAGCCGAGTCACAAGTTATTTCCTGGTGCCTGAGTATAAAACTTAAGATGATTCATACTATTTTCCTTTTGTTTGTTCCCTGAATTGATATGACCTCTACTCAGTGTCTTATGAACTTATCATAACTGTAACGTGAAACAAATCCTGAAACCTTTCAATGTCCATCTCTGCTCCTTTTGCTGTGTACTGGATCCTAAACTGGTAATACTCAGTCACTTTCTGGAAGACAAGACAAGACTGGGGCTGTATACAAGATATGCAATAATCATATAAACAGCTAGTTGTCTGTACAGCAGGTTAGCACTGTTAAACATCAACAATAGCAATAATACTGCACATTACCTGGGGGTTCTCTGGGTCAGTGTAGATCTAATAAAAAAACATCAGCACCATGAATATTTCTTTCAGACATTAAAGAAAAGATTAAATGCTGCACAACATCAGCTCAAAAAGGGAGTATAAGTACAGTTCTTTGTATTTGTTTGCTTATCTCTTTGCAACTGTGACTTTTCCCAAGCAGGCTTCTCACACTGATGTCTTTATCATAATTAAACATCCAAAGAGACTACACATACAGAGTCAAACGATTAACAAAATACTCACAGACATAATGACTGTCCGCAGCTGGTGGGGCAAAAATAACAACAGTTATAATAACATTAGTTATTACGGATACTTGTGAAAGAAGTGAATATGGACTTACTTTGCTGGTTATATTCATTTCATAATGACTCAATCAGATGTATATAGCAACTCTTCTGACTGATGGAAAAAGTTGACTTACATACTTCTTCTGAATGGCGTCAAAGCAGCCCTGCATCCTGGCCGAATGAAAACAAAACACACGTCTAATTATCAGAGGTTAGAGGACTAAAACGCAGCTCCATATATACTGAATAGAGGAATACAATAAGGACAGAATTACACAATCTTTTCCATTGTTGAAACATTTTAAGATAAAGATCAGCTAAGTTGTATTCTTAGTTGAAGAAAAATCCAGCTTATTTTCGTGTGCTTGATGGTGTAGTGATAAGTTCCACAAATCATACCCTCACAGGAAAACATCAATATACAGCTCGTGAGTCAGATATGAATCACAACTCTGAGCATTTATTTATTGTTTTATCTGACTTAAATGAACAGTGAATGTTTCTAAATGATAAATATTTTATGAAAAACACTTCTTAAACATATATTTTTGATTACTTTTTTTAATATCGACTATTTTCAGCTGACATCGATAATTATTGATCATTTTAAATGCCCTTTTTTTAATAGCCAGGTGAATGTTTTTTAATTTAACCAGTTTATTTATCAAGGTACACAGGTTATAATTTTAATGTTAATGTTTTGTCATATCCTGGGCTGCCTGTGGATCGTCTCTGGAGATGTAACACATGTAGGTCATAACTGACGACTTGTTGCATACTCCAAAGTGTGGAAACGACTATAGTGATTCACTAACACGCTCAGTTATCAAGGGATTTGATGTTCATGAGCCAGAGCGTATTCGTTGTGTGTTTTCATGGCGATTTGCATTTAACGCATTTAAGTGAAACTATCAATAGTCTATTGAACACTCTTCTTATTGCTATTGATAAAGTGTCTTTTGTATATACATTTCACTATTGTTTTATAGCCCAGGCCTTGTCCAAACATATTTCAACAGAATTTATGTTTAATTATGTCACCATCAAAATGCTGTTTTCCTAGTGACCCTGATCAATAACTGTGGCTGGCAAGTGTCAAGTTGTTGTTTACCATTTCATTTCATTTTATCATTTACCATTGAACAATCTGACTTGCACCCGGACAGCTGCGCTCCTCTCTAAGGATCATCACTTTCTGATCTGTGGGAAGGAAAAAAAGGAGGTAAGAATCTTCTCAGTAAATATTTAGAAATGCTAAATGGACCCTGAATGCCACTGCGATGTGCAGTCAAATACGTTTCCATGTGTAATCTAACCTTCAACAAATTTGCTCCCGTAGGCTTTCTCTGGGAAAAGGCCCCGAAGGTACGTGATGCCAGACACTGCGATGGCCAGGAGCTTCTTTATAACAACCAAGGACTGCTGCTCCGACAGAACCTGATTAGGCAACAGCTGATTATCCTGCACGAGTGAAATAAATGAATCAGACGTGAGTTCTGCTTATTGATTACAGTTTACACAGACACTAGAAATCAGCCAACAGGAGCAATTCAACGAGGAAGCCTGCAACATATAACCTTAGTTAACAACTTAATGTGTTTTTTTTATGTATCTAATCTGAATGTTTGTGAGTTATATGCAATCTAGATCTGCTGAGTAACAAATTCATGTAGTAAATTAATGTATTTTAGTGAAGTAGGTGTGTAAATAAGCATAAAATGGAAATAATAAAGTGCACAAGTAAGTGTTTTATTAATAAATGTACTTAATCAACCTACAACAGCCCATGTTACTGTTACAAATAGATAGAAACTGTGTACTTGCCTTGTAGCTCACTGTTTGCTGCATTACACAATCTACATTAACTAAACTTAGTTAGTCTAAAGTGATTTTACCTGTGAAGTTCTCACTTGTTGTAATGTTGCACAGGCCATTGCAAAATAAAATCTGCAAACAACAGAGAGGAAATATGTCAAGTGGCCAGAGAAATTGCTTTAGTTAGTTTCACTGTAAACTAAGTTAAGACATTTACATATTAACTAAATCTGCTCATTTTAATTAACTAAACAGTCTCTTTCACACTAACATTAAACAGTCTCCTTGTATTGTAACTAACCTAGGCTGCTGATAATTAACTTGTACTTACATGGCGACAATAAAATAATGTTTTAGCAGAACAATTCAGTTTTTATTTTAAAAAAATCTGAAGTTTAACGACAGCTAACGTTAGCTTAGCTGTCGTTAAAACAACCGTTCCCGCTAATTGTTTGATTGACGGCCACCAACAGCGGTGAACGAGTAGCCAATCACAGAGCAAGGAGCTCCTCCTCGCTTATAATGACAAAGACGGCTGCCGATCCAACTATTTTTAGGTGTATTTACGCATTAAATAACATTAAACATTAAATTAAATAACATA